TGGATCTTATTTCCTTCAAATTTCATTGTTTTGCTCCTGAGGAAAGTCTTTGTGTATATCATTCCACCTATCTCAACTGAAGCAAAGATTAAGAGACAGAGAGTCCCTCTCTCCTGAAAAACAAATTGGTGTTGGTACCTGTCCTGATGCTTTTATTATACTGTTTGTATCTAAACAGATTGCAAATACTAAGGGTGTGTCATGAATATCTTCAGTGACATACTTTGTTGTTAGTACTATCAGTCCAAAATACCCACTGCTAGCAAATTGCCTACTTTGATTCACATGCAAATAAAGCAACAAAGGACACCAAGGGAACATAGGTCAGGCAACTTAAATACACAAAGCCACAGGAAAACACAAAGTTCTCTATGAAATAATGTTTTTTCACAGAATAAGCATATAGTAATGATGTTTCTGTCCCAGGATTTGGAGGATCCAAGCTGAATCTAGGTCAATAGTCTTGGATAGTTTAATTTCTGTGTTCAAGAAGGTTCAGAATGTGGCCTGATTTCAGATAAACCATCTTTTCAGCAATGCCAGGAAAAGCGGAAAGAAATGGCCATCATTTCCCCCCAAAAATGTGTTGAAGATTTTCAGGCTGCATATACGTACGTCATTGACCCCAACAGAGCTCACTTCTAATTACACACACATGTATAATTACTTCTATGCTTCTTTAAAAGCTAGTAGTACTGAATCTAAAGAGCATTAGTCACAGCAACTAGAAATTAAATATTGAAGAATTATTTCAAAATTATACTGCTGAGTAATCATGCAGTGGAGTGCTGCATTAGTAGTATCTAGAATTTTCCAAAACAAAATTGTTCTGTAGTTCCTGGTCAAAGAATGTTTCACGAGATGAAAACTGACTGTCTATGCTATTTCACTGGCAAATATCTATGCTACTTGATGGAAGCCAAGAAAACAACTAATAGGTCACCCCCAGAGTTCTCATTCATGGCACATATGAACAGGTCCAAATTATTCTACCTTGGACACATTATGCAAAGATCCAGTGCTCTGGAGAAGGCTCTGATGCTGGGAAAGGTGGATGGAAAGAGAAGAAGAAGACAACCAGCAGCAATATGAATGGACTTGGTTATAGTAGCAATGAGTCCACCCCTGGGAGACCTAAAGGTACAGGTTATGTACAGATTGTCATGGAGAAAATCTGTGTGGTTGCTATGAGTCAAAAATGATTTGATGGCATATAATCATTCAATCAATCAGTTTAGTGGGACCTGTGAGAATTTTATGTTACATTCTAAATCTCTTAAGGAAGAAATATTTCTTCGCTTCTCTAGACATTTCTTTCCATTGTTTCCCACATCTTTCTTTCTCCACCCCCTCTTGTATTGTAATCTGTTAGCTATTGTTCCCTGAGAACAAGGAACAAGAAGTTCTCTTTGACTCCTTTGTTCAGATTCATCATTAAGGAGAAGTGGGAAAGCATCATCTGCATACAAGCTTTATCTGGAAGGTCCTTTGGTACTTCTCCATTTCTTCTCCATCACCATTTGCAAGGGGTGGCAAGCGACCAACTGTCTAAAGCTTGTTTTCTTGTGTTTACAATCTTTCTAAGTGAAAGATTGACATGCGAGACATAAACATCTCCACCTTTTTTGCTCTGAGTCATTAGATGTTAATATGTCTGATTCAGAGGTAGGCTGCCTGCTACTCTCTGAGCAGTAATTATTAAATGTTAGCTATTCATTATATTTTTTGAAGTTCAAGATGGGGTACCTGACATTTCTTTCTTGTTTTTTTCCATAACAACCCTGTGACGTGGGCTGGGCTGAGAGACATTGCTCAAAATCATCTACCATTCCTGCATATTCAAAGTCAAAAGTATTGGATTGATTAATTATGTATCGCCAAGTTATTGTCAACTTTTGATGCCCATGTAGAGTAGTATTGGAAAAGTATTGGTACCCCTCCCCTTTGACTCAAAGAATCTCAATTTACCATGGAATACATTGAAACTAATAGATGTAAATGGCATCCATCATAGTCCATAATCTACAAAGCAGATACTTTGATGTATGACTTAACATACATCACCGAAGTAGAGGGGTACCAATATTTTTGGATGCATCTGTATATGTTGAAAAAAGTCACCTCATTTTATTTTCACGTTTACAGGGTTTTATTTAAACAAATCTGATTCTTCCTCCCATTTTTTTCCCAGTGAGAACAGAATAGACTCTTCTACCTCTATTATCCCTGCATTGTGTTCCTCCCATTCTAGAAGTATGAGAGAGGCTTTTTTAAAAGCAAGAACTGTTCAGTCACCTGTAGCTTTTTAAATGTTCTCAAGATTTAATATCAGAAATGAGTACTGCTGAAAGAAATATAATTAGGGCAAAATGTTGCAGTTAAACTGCCAAGGGAAGGATGATACTCTTGTCTATTCCTAATTCTACTAAACTGGTAACCCCATTTCATTTCCTTCATGAAACAGGCTGATCCTAAAATCTGTGATAATATCCCACTTGTTAAGTGTAGCTTATCCAAATTCTGTAGACTGTGGTCCCTGGAAATTATTTTCAAAGAATGTAAACAGTAAATATTTTATATCTCCTCCATATGAAAGCACATTTACTGCTATATTTTGTACAGTTTGATATATTATCCCATGCATACATAAATACACCTATCCAAAAATAAGAAGCACTGCCTTTATTAATACAAGGTTGATAACAAAACATTCTGAAAACCGCTGACCTTGAAAAGAGTTTCATAGTAGTCCAGTGAAATGCCACAGCTGAAAATTGAAACTAGTAATGCGGATTAAACAACCAAACTATTGTAAACAGATATGCTAGCCTGTTTGTCCATTTTGTTGTAGTAGAACAATGGATTTTTAAAAAGGCCATCTGTAGAGCTCAAGATAGCTCTAAAGGAAACTACATTAGAAAAAGAGCTGTTTCTTTAAAGCTGTTGATCTTGCTATATTCCCAACCAAATTATATGGATTTTGCAGGCATGCTTGTATTCCACTCAAGATGCATTTGCTAAATCTGTCAGATTTATAAATTTACAAATATATATTAGTTTATGTTATGCTATTCAGCATTGGAAGTGTGGAGTTAAATAATCATTTGGCTTTTAAGCATGGTCCTATAGAATTATGCTTTAGTTTTTACTTATATTTTATTTTCCAAAGTATTTAAATGTCTTCTATGAAATATATATCATACTTCTGTGAATGCATTTTGAAAGTCAAATCAGATATTCAGTAAAGGAATTATTTTCCTACATAAGACGATAGTACCAACAGGGATAATTATTATATTTCTACTTGTAGCTGAATTATTAGCTACAGTTGCAATGGATGGCTTTCTTATCTGCAGACTGCACCATTTGTACCATGTTTTTGATTCATGCAAATGTTTTCAGATTTAAATTGGCTTTGGTTTAGAAACATAACATAAACATAAATTCCATCATGATAACAGCATTTATACATTGTACAAATAGCACTAGAAAGGCACAAAAATTGTGGACTTCAATTCTGTACACATTTACTTCGGATGTTCTTCCCTGTAAACTCACATCAATTTCAGAGTACTTATTTAATTCCACAGAGTAATTAATTGTATTAAATCAATATACACAAAATGACTTTATATCCATTTGTAAAATGAGACCATAGCCATCTTATGGTCATAAAATTTATGAAAAGCATTTTGAAATCTAGAAGGACTTGGTGTTGAAAATTTCACAATAAATTTAAGTTCCTATACTGTATGAATTTTAAGGCTGAGACTGTAAACAGATTACTTCATATGTTTATACAATTAACAATATAAAAATAACTCCTTAAGCTATTACATTTTGATTCCTTCTTGTGTAAAAATAAATAGCCTAAATAGAATTTTTCTTACTATATGTTCAAATGTTTTTAGGACAGAGTATTATAGTTGTCAATGTATTATCAACTGAAGGTAATAATTGTGCAATTAGGATTGTATGCTTTTTCTAAATAAAAAGTCTTGACTAATCATATAAATACTGTATTATAATGAGGTAGAGGTATTAAACTTCTCTTTTGTTTTAAAGTTGGCATATGAGCTAGATTTATGTTTTCACTACATATTCTACACATTGTAAATACATAAACAAATTTAATAGAGGCTTTTAATTCTAAAAAAATAAATTAAGTTGGCTACTAAAAGCCATGTGTGTTCCTTTTTCCAATTTATTTTTAAAAAGTTAATGGAAAAGTACTAGTTTGAAGTTTTAGATTGTAAACCAAAATATAGTTTTACTATATTTTGCTTTCTTTTCAACTACAAAAATCAGATCAGCTGAAAATTAGAGTGGTATAAAATGGGACCTTGTTCAATTATTGTATAAAAAAACACTCCCAAACCTAATAAATGGCATGTCATTAGGATAGGGGAGCTGTTACAAATGAATTTGCTAAATCCACTTTAATGGAACAGGATAGGATGCCAAGAAATGCTAAAAATATTTTTGTTCCCACAACAGGACATTTAAGAGACTTTTTGAGAACAGCATGCATGAATAAAATACGTTTTTGTTTCAAAATAAAAGGATCTTATATATAATGTCAATTCTTAATTCTATCAGTGCTTACTCAGGAGTCTGTCCACTGATTTCAGCAGGATTTTCTCTCAAGTATTGCAGGGCTGTTGCCTTACTAAGGTGATTTTTGTGGAAATGTGTACCTAAACCTTACCTTTTATTGAAAAACAACATCAACAACCCCTCAATAGATAAAATTCAGATGAAACTTCAACAATTCACATTTAATAAATGAAGCTTTGTTGGAAAAGAACGGTCTTTATCAGAGCAGCAACTATCAAGTTAAAACATAATCCTATGCATAATCTTTTGTTTTTCCTCCTTAGATTAGACTTGCTGAAGTGAAACACACTCAAATCTACCAAGCAAAATGTTTTTGTGTGTATGTGTGTGTGTGTGAATGCGAGATCGACCCGAGTTTAATTAAACGTTGATATTACTCAGTTTCAGTGAGATAAATGACCAAAAAACAATTCTGAAAGCGGTCTGTGTTTTGATGCAGTTTCACTCTTTTCTTCCTCCAGGGCCTGAGACAAGGAAGAAGTAGAAGTAGAAAAAGCCCTTCGTGAATTCAACTTCCTCCTCGGGGCTGTGGCTATGTTAAGAAATTTATTGATGGGGGCAGGTTTCTTTAAGCCTTTTGTCAATTCATAGAAGGCAACATCGTCAGATAAAAGCCCCAGGACAGTGCTGGTGGAACTTAAGATAGAAGCAGCCACTTTTATGTTCTTCTTGATGGAAGGGTTCTTCCGCTCAGTGTGAAGACCAGGGTCATTTAAGAGATACCTGACTGCAAAAGAAGAGCCTTCTTTTAAATACTGGAACGGTTTTTTCCCACTATAGTCTCTTAAGTTGACTTTGGCATTGTAAACTTTGACCAGCTGGGCAATAACTTCTTCCTGCCCGTGGAGAGCAGCAATATGAAGCGGGGTATAACCCCCGTAGGACTTAGCATTGACATCCACGTGAATACCTCCTTTCTCGGCCATTTCTAGGACTTTGCTCAGTGTTTTGGAATTTCCACTTTTAGCCGCCCAGTGGAGAACCGTGAAGCCACTCATGAAATCTCTTTTGCTGGCCAGATTCAGGTCAATGAGCAACAAGCCATGAAGTTGCTGGGACCACTGGCCGGCTGTGGCTTTCACCACCCACTGGTGCTCAACAGGCTCCAAGGGCACGTTGGTTGTGCTGTCAGCTTCCTCACCCACCTTTAGCGGTTTCGACCCCCTTCCCAGGGAAAGGGATTTGGGCCCCATTTCGTTTAGCTGCCGCCTCTTAGCACGAGGGGAGGGAGACAGGAGGATGGCAGGGAGATCCACTTGGAGACCATCTTCGACAGGGATCCGGTCTTGCTCAGGGCTCAGCTCCTCAGATCTCTTAGCGTTGGTGGAAGAAAGGGGCACAGAGCGGACCGGCAGCATGCAGGGCTTTGGGGAGGCACCCTTGGGGGCCAACTGGTCTTTGCCACTGGGGACTTTGAGGATTTCCGAGCCTCCCCTTTGGAAGAGGTTCTTCAGCTGGAACACAGGGATAGTCCGATGGGCGTCAGGGTCCTCCTTTTCAGGCGAGTTCAGAGGCGCCACGAAGCCGGCAGGGCAAGCGGGCGCTCCAGAATCGGCGCCTTCGGTTTCCTCGTCAGACAGATCCCCGAAGGCGATCGATCTCGGTTCCGCATCGGAGTCGTCCCGGGCCAACTGGTGCCTGTTTCTCAGCACGACCAACTTGATCCCCTCCGAGACCCGCACGGCAGCCACGCTGTTGACCAAGTGGACGAAGCGCTGGCGGAGAGCAGCCCGGACCTCCGGCGTCGCCTCGGGCGCGTCCAACAGCGGCTTGAAGTGGGCGAGCAGCAGCGAATTGCGCACCTGGCCGCCCTGTTCCCGAAGGAAGCCCAGCACGGCGGCTTTATTCAGGAATTCAGCCATGCCCGCCGCGGCCAGGTGGGTGAAGTGGAAAGGGCGGGCGAAGGACGTGGGAGCCGCGGAGAGAGCTGGCCACCGCTCCCCGGGAGGCTGCAGCCACCTGCCGCCGCTTCCTCGGCTGTGTAGGAATCTCTCTCTGGCGCCCTCCTTTCCAGCTGGCCGAGCGCGCACGAGGGAAAGTGCGGTGCAAAAACCGCCCGCCGCGGGGGTGGCTGGGATTTGTAGTGCAGAACACACCTGAGTTCGAACGCCGCGTTTGTTTTCTGAAAGCGGAGGCAGCTCCCGGGCGCAGGCGCAAGATCGTCCTACCCGCGCTTTGCCTTCCCGAGCAACAGGCGGTCTCCCGCCTTCCATCCCACCACGTGCGTCAAACTAAGACGAGAAGCGCCCCCTCTTGCTCTGGGGAAAAAGAAAAAAAAAAAAAAGCAGGGGAGCGTTTCTGAGCTCTTGAGGGTGTTTTTTTTTTCCTGCAGCCCCTCTGAGACGCGCGGAGCCCTCTTGGTATGGCCCAGGTAAATCAACCGCTCCTCAGCGTGGCAGAGGCCAGGGCAGCAAAGTGGCTGGCAGCGAGTTATCCTGAAGCGCTCCCAGGCGCTCTTTTACGCCTTTTAATATATGGCAGTGATGGCGAACCTTGTAGAGACTGAGTGCCCAAACTGCAACCCAAAACCCACTTATGCATCATCGAGTGCCGGCTGGGTGTGGCCCATTGGCTGGGCGTGGCCCATTGGGTGGGCATGGCTGCAGTGGTAACGGCAGACTGGGTGGGACTAAAAAGTTCAATTAATCAATTCCAACTTTGCAAGATTTTTTTTTCCCCGCGAGAAGTTGAAATTGACTGAACCTTTTTTTTTTTTTTGCACATGGCGGCGGAGGCCTAAAGCGAAAAGGTTTTATAAAACCCAGCTGAAGGCCTAGGACTGGGGCAACGACGTGTGTGCCCACAGAGAGGGCTCTGAGTGCCACCTCTGGCACGCGTGCCATAGGTTCGCCACCACTGATATATAGCATTGCGTGGGCTTTGTCAGGAGGAGTAGTTCTGTTGACATAGAAATATACTCTGAAGATAGTGTTGGTCTGTGGCTCTCTGCAGTGTTGGCGAAAGCAGAGCATGCTCGAAGAAAAGCATATATGTGTGAATATAATACAGAAGTCCCCTTTCTGTTGGTGCCACACATTTCCTCCCCACCACACACCACCACCACCACCCTCACTTTGCCTCTGTCTGAAGCAAGGATGGGCTTTCTGGAGCCCACTTGGTGCTCTCTCCAACTGACTGCTGTCTAATGGAAGAGAATTGTACGTAGCGTTGCCAGGTCTGCTTCCAAAAAATAGCGGACAAGCGGGGGGGGGGGGGTGTTAAGTAGTAAAAAAAGTAGACTGTACAGCTTTAGATTACGTACCATTTTATCATAAAGCTTTTGAATAAAAAAAATGTCCACTATTTTGTGGAAAAAAATAGTGAACATAATGTGAAAAAAGTGGACTGTCCGCTCAAATAGTGGACACCTGGCAACCCTTTGTACGTGGTTCAGGTTTGAATTGAGAAGTCCTTGCTGCTCTCAATGCTTGGTTGCTTGCTTGCTGGCAGACGTTTCGTTACCTGACTAGGTAACATCGTTGGCGCTAGTGAATGTGGGATTTGCTCCCTGTATACAGTACATACAGTCACTTGCCCTGCCAGTGTTGGTGGGGGCATAGTCTTCTTCGTAGTTCTTGATTAAAGTATTGTTTTCTGGTTGTTTGGCATTCATTCCTGCTTATCTGGCTGGAGAGGATGTGTTCTGGGCTTTTTGTTTCCTTTTTAGTTTTTTTTAATTGTCTGTTTTTATTGAATCGTTTGTAAATGTGGTTTATCTCCATGTGTCTGTTCATGGCTGGTTTGTCTGAGTGCCAAGTTTCCAGGAAGTCCCTAGAGTTTATGGAGTTAGCTTGGTCTAGGATACTGAGTTTCCCAGTTGAAACTATGATTGAGTCTGTCCCCATATTGTGAAATTAAGGAGTTTTCATCGTGTCTTCTGACTGCTAGTTGATATTCATGGATGTGTTCTGCTAGCCTTCTGCCTGTCTGTCCAACATAGTGGCTATTACAGTATGTTGTAGAATGTAGATGACTCATTTTTTCCCCTTGGGCCACTGGGTCTTTTGGTTCACTTAAGATGTTTTGGAGTGCTTTAGTTCAGGGGTCCCCAACCCCTGGTCTGTGGACCGGTACCGGGCTGCGGCATGCCAGCAACCGGTCCGCACACACAAGCAAATCCTGATGTGCGGGATGCAGGCAGCACACAAAACCATGCCCCCTCCAGGAATGGAAAAACCTCTCTTCACAGAACCGGTTGTTGGTGCCCAAAAGGTTGGGGACCTCTGCTTTAGTTGGATTGTATGCTATGGTGATACTTTATAGTTGTAATAGTCTGTGCTTATTTTTGAGATGTTTTTGATGCATATCAGTGTTATCCTTTTTCATAGCTTGGGATGGCTGTGGTGTAGTGGGTTGAGTGGTTAGGCACTTAGAGGTGCCTGGATATCCATTTTGTGGAAGATGTTGGTCTGTTTCCTTTTTCTGGTGTTCTGGATTGCTGTAATGTGTTTGTGCTCATCTGAATAATGTTCTTACATAACTCTTCTTGGTTGTTACTTTGACAGTGGAGTGCTTGGATAGTGTGGGTGTTTTTTTTTTTGATAGAACTGTATTTTTAATTTGCTACCATTTCCTATGCTGGTGAGAATATCCAGGAAGGGTAGTGTGTTGCTGTTTCCTTCTTCGCTAGTGAATTTTATTCTTTTGAAGATGTTGCTGATTGTTTCATGTGTCTTCTCTTGTTGTTCCTTTTTTTTATTATGACAAAGGTGTCATCCACATACTGTATCCATATTTTTGGTTGCATGTATGGGAATGCTATAGTTTCTAGATGCTGCGTTGAAGTCTCTGCTGTGAGTCCTGAGAGTAGTAATCCCATGGGTGTTCCTTTGAATTGTTGATATATATGGCCATTAAACTAAAAGTAGGTAGAGAAGCAGAAGTTCAAGATTTCCATGATTCTGGGTATTTTGATCTTAGTGTATTTGGTAAGGTTAAATGTATTGTGTAGTACTGCTGCTATATAGATTCTTTCAATAGATCTGAGCCTTGGATTTAAGTTGTGCTGTGACATCAAATAAAACTATAATCTCACCTTCTATTATTGTGTCTTTGATTTTCCGGAGCATTGTAGTGGGACATTGTTAGAATATTCACTCCCCTCTGTGAGATGTCCAAGCTTTTTTTGTAATTATTTTAGCTGTGTTGTATGTTGGGGTACCTAGTAATGATATAACTGGATAAAGAGGTATGTTGGACTTCTATATTTTGGGGCACCCACAGAAGCATGGGGCCACTGCTTTTCATCCACCCTCTTCTTCTTTTGTGATTTAATCTTGATAATTGTGGTAAATTCTTTATCTGCTGGGAGGATGAGGATGCTTTGGTCTTTCTATAAGTTTTGGGGGGTTGCTCTGTACTCTGTTTTGTGTTGGTTTTGATTCTGTGTTCTTCTGGTCTTCGGTATGATTGTCTACCTTATGTTTTCTTGGGTCCCAAGGGCAAGTCCTGTGATTTCAGATGCTGCTTCTAAGGCTGAAAAGAATTCTAATTAGCACCATGTAATTTATAGTATAGATAGTCCTTAACTTACGACCACAATTGAGCCCAAAATTTCTGTTGTTAAGTGAGTTTTGCCCCATGTTACGACATTCCTTGCCACTGTTGTTAAGTGAATCACTGAAGTTAATAAGTTAATAATCCGGTTGTTAAGTGAATCTGGCTTCCCCATTGACTTTGTTTGTCAGTAGGTCACAAAAGGGGATCACATGATCCCAGAACACTGCAATCGTCATAAACAGGAGCCAATTGCCAAGCGTCTGAATTTTGATCATGTGACATGGGGAGGCTGCAATGGTCGTAAGTGTGAAAAATAGTCATAAGTCACTTTTTTCAGTGCCATTGTAACTTTGAACAGTCGCTAAATGAACTGTTGTAAGTCGAGGACTACCTGTATAGTTCCTGAAGGATATTGCATTCTGGGGAAAATTCTTTCTGAAGAATTTTGTTTTCTGGAGAATGCTGAATGCTCTGACTGCTGTCTTTAAGAAATGATTATGTAGGAAGGTAGTATGTTCCAAAGCAAAATACCAGATACAGGTAGTCCTCGACTTAGAACAGTTCATTTAGTGACTGATCAAAGTTACAACGGCACTGAAAAAAATGACTTACAATTATATTTCACAGCTACAGCCTTTGCATCAATCCCATGATCACGTGATCAAAATTCAGATGCTTGGCAACTGGTTCATATTTATGACCTTTGCTGTGTCTCAAGGTCATGTGATCCCCTTTTGCCACCTTTTCACAAGCGAAGTCAATGGGGAAGCCAGATTCACTTAACAACCGGGTTACTAACTTATCAGCTGCAGTGATTCACTTAACAACAGTGGCAAGAAAGGTCAGAAAATGGGGCAAAATTCACTTAACAAATGTTTCACTTAGCAACAAAAATTTTGGGCTCAGTTATGGTTGTAAGTTGAGGGCTACCTTTATATACAGGGCCCATCCTCAGCATGGCAGAGAATATCTGGAAGAGCTATGGCACACCTAGGCAGCCATTTTGTGAATAGGAAGAAGTCTCCCATGGCAGCCTTTTGGTGACTGCCTTTGTCCTATGATCTTAAAATTCCAGATGTGCCCACAGACCAGTCTCTAAAGAAAAAGTGCAAGGCAATGAAACAAGATTATGGAGATTCAGAAATCAATTATATTGCCTTGTAGCAGCTATACCTTTGTGCCGTTGTAGGGGTGTGAGGAAGAATTAAGGGTGTGGGGCAATTCATGTTGGCATGAATGTTCCCATCAATAAGCAAGTCCCAAACCACTGATGTCTTTAGAGATATGCACAACTCTTTTTTTAAAAAAAAAAAAGTGTATTATAAGTGTTATAAATCTATTTTCAAATCAACTTACATAAAAT